TTCTAAGGTATAATACTTTAAATAAACTTATGGGATTGACTGTATAGCCAATACATCCTTAAACGTATGCATTGTGTATGTATGCGTGCGAAGTTGGTCCAGAATCCCTCGAATCATTTGTACCACTGGCGTGGCAAGAAAATAATTTCAATTTTCACAAATGCAAGCGTGATAAAAATCGAAATTACTTTCTTGCCGAATATATCCACTGCGTTCTACCGTTTACGACGATGCGCGTACACAGGGTTCCAACGAGGCGACGGTGTCTACGGCGCGCTGATCGTACGTTCGCCTCCGAGATCGAATTGGCACGATGGCTTGTACGACTTCGACGAGCATAACGTCCTGATCACGGATTGGACTCATCGGCTTGGAATAGACAAATTTTTAAATCATCACCACGCCGGCGGAGACAACAAACCACCGAGCATACTGATCAACGGTCTGGGTCGTTATCACAGCGATGAGAGCAACGTGTCCGCGATCATGCCCATCGCTACGTTCACAGTTAAACCGGTAAGCCGTCGCGCGTTACACCTACCACGCAGTTATTCGTTGCGACGCGGAAATCCATCCGATTCGTACGATAAAATAATAGTTGAAATGCATTCCCTTGAACAGAACGCGAGATACAGATTCAGGCTGATCAACGCGGAGTTCCTTAATTGCCCGATCGAATTGTCGATCGATAATCATACCATGCTAGTGATCAGCTCGGACGGACGCGACATCGAACCCGTCGAAGGTACGTAAGTGTTCGAAACCTGTCTCTCATTAAAAGTATCCAACAGAGGATAGTAAATCAGTTACGAAATGGGTGTTCGTGCATATATGCATTTATGAACGCTGTACCTCTTATTTGTATATGTATATAAAAATGAATCTCTTATCTGTTGTACGTATACATGCCTTTGCGTTACGTTACGACACACGTCGACGACGAAAACTAATCGACGTGACTTTTAGCCGATTCTTTGGTGTCCTACGCTGGCGAAAGATTCGATTTTGTGATCGAGACGAATGGGACGGTAGATAATTATTGGATGCGATTTCGCGGGCTGATGGACTGCGACGAGAGATTCACGAAGGCCTACCAAGTAGCTGTGCTGCGATACGAAGGTGCCGTTGAACGAGACCCGAACGGTACGGTCACGTACGAACCGGAGTCGAATAATTCTAACAGGGTACGCGTCTTAAGTTTGCTAAGCCGTTAGTTCGCGGATTGTTGGTGCATCGACTAAGCTTGAGTACTTACGTTTCAAATGGAAGTAAAAGATGTGCGCGAATTTGCAGCGGCGAGTGAACGCTTTGAACGAGGGTACAGAGACGAACGCGAGCATCAGCATACCGTTGTTAAAATCTATGGACGAAAACGACGAGTCGAATAGGCAATCGCAACCGGATTATCAGTTTTACGTGTCTTACGACTTTTATAAGAAGGATAATCCCCATTTCCATCGTAAGAATCTTTATGGATTCTATCAAGGTAGGTACTGTCGACGTTTTCGCCGACCTAATTCCCATATCAAACCAAAATCTATAAAACAGGGATTCCCAACGGGGTCAATGATCAATGGGTCAATAGCCGAATATGCACTGGCGATTGATCAGCATGATTCAGATCCCATTGATCACAAAAAAATTTATTAATAAAATTGACGATTAAAAGCTGTATCATTTAGAATGAAAAGATCATATGAAGTAAATACATAAGGGAAATGTTCAAATATATAAAAATATAATGTATGAGGAAAACAATGCACATGCAAAGTTATTTAATATATTTTAAAAATCAATATCTTTTTAAAATATGTAAATTTTTTATGCCAAAAGTGCAATATAAAACGGCAAATCTTATACAGCGTATATTATAGAGAAAAATGTAAGTAACGATGTCGGAAATATTGGGAATCTCTGGTATAGAATGTAGAATATTGAAAAATTACTTTACCCGTGTTCTCGTTGTGACGCAGTGAACGAATCGAAACGAGTGCTCACTCCTCAGTTGAATCACATTTCAATGAAACTGCCACCCGTGGCCTTGTTGCCTCAGAGGGATTTCGTCGATTCGGATCGATTTTGCAACGCGAGCAGCGTGCGAACACAAGACTGCGAACGAGATTACTGTACCTGCACTCACGTGCTCCGAGTAAAACTCGACAGCGTGGTGGAAATCGTTCTGGTAGACGAAGGTGAGTCCCCATGACTGTTCGTCGATGTTTACGCGATAATTTCACTGGGTCATTCTCTCCGTTCCTTTGCTCTGCTCCAACAGGTTTCGCATACGACGCGAATCATCCGTTCCATCTGCACGGTTATCAGTTTCGCGTGATTGCAATGGAGAGAGTCGGTAAAAATATTACCGTATCGAGGGTAAAGGAGTTGGACGAAACGGGGGCGATACGGAGGAACCTTGACCGCGCTCCGTTAAAAGACACGGTAACGGTGCCTGACGGCGGTTACACTATTCTACGGTTTCACGCCAATAATCCAGGTACCGAAAACATACGGAATACTCATTGGATTCTGAATCCACTTTGCACGCATACATAGAAAATGTGACAGTCTATCTTTAATGCATTCCATGCATCGTCTCTATTTGAGCCCACGTGAATGTATATGTATGCATGCGAAGGGAGTCCAGAATCCAATAAGCCATCTGTACATATATTTATTTATTTGACGGGTTAAAATCCAATAAAAGTGGAGAGTCAATATTATGATTCAATATGTTACGCAACAAAATTATTTTGGAGATCGTTCTTCTCTCCTCAAGCGTTGTAATGTTGAATTTGAGCACGATCGAACAGTAGTCGCAACATATTGTTCGCGCATGACTTGATGGATCTAGCCCACTGCGCCCCACAGGAAGAGATCTCAGAATTTACCCCGCGCGGCTCGTTTCCCCTCTTTTTCGCCCGTATTTCGATCCCCATTACTATTCTCCTCATGCGCCATCGCAGACCATGCCTAGCATATCCCCATCAAGTACCAGTCCCCACCATGGTCGCGTCGTCCCCACTTTCCAGCCGAGGGAAAAATTATGAGATCCCTGCATATTATTCGCGCATGACTTGACGGATCCAGCCCACTGCGCCCCATAGGATCGACGGGATCCAGGAACCATCTCGCCATGCGCGTATTTGATACATTCCAAGTCGTCGTCGTTCTGGTTCGATCCACGTGCTCCGAGTAAAACATGCGTTTGCCCACAGGTTACTGGCTGTTCCATTGTCACATCGAATTCCACGCGGAGGTCGGCATGTCGTTGATTTTTAAAGTCGGCGAAAACGAAGACATGTTACCAGTGCCGCAAAATTTTCCTACGTGCGGTAATTGGCAACCCGAGGAGTCGTCGCATATCGAGCAAAGCAAGAACGTCAGCTGGATATCGACGATCCAAGAAAAAGGAATGGAGAAAAGCACGAACGATACAAAGGACGAAATCAGCGAAAACAGTGTGGAGCAATTCGTAAGATTGTTACCGGAAATTTTGAAGACGTTCAAAATCTCAGGGTGGAACAGTAGCAGCAGCACATGGAACAGCGTCCCATACTTTCTGCTTTCGTTTTGCTGTTTGTTGTGCGTGGTTAACGAATTCGTGTGAAATTTATTTTCTTACGCTCGTTTTGTACGTGAACTATGTATTACCTACGCGTATGCCTACTGTATGATTAATACGATTAAGATACGCGGACATTCATCTATTTATGTGTATTGTACATACTATCGCAATGAAATTCACACTATGTACTATGTATACGTATAGTATACATATGGCAATGATGCGCGACCGTGACTCTACCGAATGAAAATAAGTACACATATGTAGGATTGCTTTATCTTATGTAAATATCAGTTTTTCTACGGGAAATATCGAATTTGTTTAGTGGGATCCGTAATTCATCAAGATTCGAGGCAACGAAAACTTGATAATAATAATCTACCTCGGTACGCGCGCACGGATGTTACGACTGTATGGTAATTGACATCCGCGTGCTTTAATGCAGGATTTGCGCTATTCGCAGCAGGATCGATCTGTACCAGTTCCGTTAGTCATCTTGCCAATCATTGCCGTAATCTTTATTCCATACCATCATTACTATTTTATAATCTTTATTCTATATTATTATTTTATTACTACGGCACAGATTTTGCTGGCTTCTGACGTCTCAGTAAAATACGTAGCCGGTACGGTTGGTCCTGATATGGATAGTGCTGATCCACCTTAGTTCGTGCGTTATCTGTAATGTAAATAAGTCACGATACGCGAGGAATATCGGGAACAAGAAAACGAACGATTCCCTTTCGTGCTTCGTTCCCACGTACGTATCTACAGATGTATGTACGTAGTTACATAACAAGTGTATATACTTACTGAAGTGCAATAAGAGGAAACGTTGAGTTTAAACGTCGAATTGTTTATTCTCGAATGGAATCACTGTGTGATCTGAATGTGTGCAAATCGTTAAACGAATCGATTTTTATCGGAGTCTTTTAAAAAAGAAGAGAACGAAGGTTGGCGAATGATTGCAGTCGTGGCCACCACCGTTTTCGTTTATCGAATTATTTTTTATTTCCTTCTAATAGTTCGACATATGTATATTTTCAAGAAACGTTTGTACATACTGCGATGTATAATAATACTATTCGTTTATTTCTGATGCGCGTACAGGGTAACTAACAATTTATTGATGGATGAACTTTATTTAACGTAATCGTACATATTATTCGATACAAGAGTATGGAAATATCTTTGTAGAAGTGCGAGCCAAGTCTGTTTTCTTCCACAGTTAAAGAGGCTCGTAAATGTCGTACCTGACTCGTTTAAAAACTATTTTTATATATGCATAAAAATGTAAAGTTACAATGAAATCACCGTGTCGTCCAAATGCGAAAGTCCAACGAGCATCCTAGCCTGATTGTTTCGTCCTTGAAATACTTGGGTCGATTGAAAGATCCGTGGGTCCGTTACCTGAAAAATGAGAAATCGCTAAAGAAACGTTGATCGAGGAAGGAAATCGTAGGCCATAGCCTTTATGTCATACATGAATCTATGTACTTAGGTAGACCAATTATAAATTTGTATGCTTCATTCGCAATTCGTAACAAAACTACACAGTGAGTGGAAAGTCGGAGACCACGGCCGAGACTTTTCCACCACAAACACACGTATATTATAGCCGGACATTTTCATATTCGTCACATCGCGCACGTTTCACTTAGAAATAAAATAAAAATAACGCATAATCAAAGCTGTAATTGCGACGACAGACACCAGAAAATAAATACAAAAAATCAATCCTTCGATCTAGTTGATCCCTCTCCTTTTTCAATAGGAGGGATTTGAAAGGTATCGCTAAAACGCTTGAGTCACAAACCCGAGAAACGACGATCTCAAGAATTGGCTAAGCACACATACGTACATCGTTGATCGACGAAAATGAGTTTGATTTTCGTGACTGACGCTGTGGTCGGCGCCATCGCTATGGGAATAAGTGGTGAACGGTTGATGCTGCGTCAGGAGCAATGGCGGCACTGGCATTTGGCTCACCTGGCCGGCCGGTGTACGAACCTACCTGCCTCTCCTTCGCCCTTCGCTTCACCTGGCCATCGCGTTCACGTTCCTCGAGGCGGCCCGACGCGACCCGAACCCGAACCGCCCGAACCTGTTGCCCGTTCTCGTCCGTCTATGTCCGCATAGTACCGTGGCCGCTGTGTGTTGCTGCGTCGCTTTCACGACGTCCGAACGTTCATTGCGGTCATTCCTGCACGATCTATGATATCCGCGCGTACAAGTACCGTACTTACGCGTAGACGTCCCGATTCATTTTATATTCGATGATTTTTACGGTACAACCGTGCGGGAACTCGGTCTCTTCGCCGTCGTCCTCTTCGGAGCTCAGTATACGTATACTTACGTGTACAGCGTATACTGTACAGTATACGTTTGGTCAGCAGCTATTTCGCTCCGCTGCTTCTTATGAATCGACGCGGCGCGGTGGCTGCGGCGTGTGTCGAGTGAAGTGCAAATGCAACTAGTGAAATCATCGGAATCGAATTATATTCCGTTGGATAGATCGAAAGATGCTTAGACAGGAATACGTCTGGCACGCGTCGCGGTTGTGCAGTTGTGAGTTGTGACGTGTGGGATCTTTTTTCAATTCCTTTTCCGTGTATTATGGCCGACGAACTGGTTTCTCCGACGCGACAGGAAATTGGTGATCGTCCTGCGATTTCGGCATAAATGCGATCGAGGAAGGGGAGTTTTTTTTGTGCAATCGATGACGCAAAGGATAGATGGGATTCCAGGCTCCGGTCTCGATTTGGGATCTTCGCCCTGCGAGTGAAATTGCCGTCATCGATCTCAGTGCTGTGTCGTGCCATGATCCGTGATCGATAAGTGGGAAACGAATTATCCGCGAAAGCGATCGCGATTTACGTGGTGCGTTTTGTTTATTCTCGATACGTGTTACCCGCTATTTTTCGACGGCTCAACCGAAAATAAGTCGAACAAGTGTTTCGTTTCTCGATCAGCTCAAATTCTTTGGGATGGGATTCGCATCTGGTGTTTCTTTCTTGACGATACAACGTTGACTACAGCTGACGAGATCGACGACGATCGAAGGTATGTTGAAAAGAGTCGCACGAATCCGTTTTCGTGTATAGGTACGATAAATATGCGCGTGTTAAAATATGTTTCCGCGAGTCACGTTTCCTCGCCGAAGAGAATAAACAGAGAAGTGTCGTGCTATGTTTTAATGAAATATCGTTGATAAATTACGGTCATCGCGTCTGTTATCGTTTCATCTGCTACGACTCGATTTACACGGTGAGTCCAGTGCATATTTTCGAAGTAGCTAAAGTTCAGAATCTAAAAATACCTAATTGAAAATCGAAAGCAAGCGTTGTGGGCGAATTGACCATAAAAGAATCGCGTTAAATATTAATTATTTTTGGAACGTTGTAGTATAGACTCCATCTCGAGGACAGTGATTAACGAGAAAAGAATGCGTATCAGAACTATGCTACAAATGGGAATAGCCCGATCGCGTGTAATACGTATTTGATAAAGCGTATCTCACGAATGAGTCGTAATGCATATATATAGTTCGTTTTCAACACTTTTTAATACCTGCACACATACTAGGTACGTATACAAGGGCAGTCTTAATCAACTTTTGTTGGAATTGGAGAAATATTGGTTTCTTCAAATAAAGATCCAGAAAATCTTAAAATTGGAAGTTTTTTAATTGCACCTTCTCATATTAAATCCAAATGATATTTTTTATTTGCTTACTCAATTTTACGTACATGGAATTAAATCAGTTTTTAAGCACGTTTTTCCACGACATTTCGCACCAATGATATCGTCGTCAGAACAGCATTACGATCGCAGACCTGATACGTTTTATGCAAGAGGAACGATTTTTTTTTTTTTTTATATTGTCGAAAGCGTTGTTATACTACGGATTAGGCTATTAGACGTTGGACGTAAGACGAACTGCGTTACGTATACCGAGAATTTATTTCTTATTTAAAAATGGTGAGAATGAAATCGAAAGGGGTATCGTAGCGAAAACGAATTTCGTACGTGATGGTAAGGCGTCGTTCAACGTCGGATTTGGTCGAGTTTCGACTCTTCGAAATTGGTTCCGGTTCGCATTATTTTCTACTCGAAAACAGAGAGATTACCGATTTCGAACGCACAGTATCACGCGATGTGTGTACGAGTATGTACGCACAATGGTACCTAAGTATGCACGTACATACGTGTAAGAGGAGGATGTTCTCCTTCAGGGAGGAGTTTCCGATTACTCGAGTGCACGCATACACGGCAGAACGACGGCGACGCGACGGAAGGCAGTCGAAGTCGAAGCAGGGAAGAACGAGGAACGGGAGAACAAGGATGAGGATGAGACTCGAGAATGGAAGATGGTGCGGCTGCCGCGAGGTCGTTCGTCCACGCAGAAGCTGAGATCGCAGCCAGAGGTGAGTGGCCACTCTCTTCTCCTTGGAATGTTGCATCGCCTACCAACCATCCTACCATCTTACGTCTTACCGAACGATCGCGATACTTACATACGTACGGATGCGCGAATATTTACGTTCGATTACGGTTACGCGAGTATTCGTAGGGATCGGTATCGATCGCGAGTATCGATACGGTAGTTTGGTGCGCAAGAAGGGCGCGCGTGCAGCGGCAGAGACAGTTTAAATTACCACCAATCGCAGAATAGATTCGTTCGCTGATGTCGCGCATAACAGCCTGGAACGTGTTCTCGTTTTCGACGACTCGACGCGAGGATTAAGTACTCCAATTTGATCTTGAATACCACTAATCTGATATTAGTACGCAGTATGTGATGAACGTTGTATAGTAACTGTCGTATGATGTTTTGATCATAATGCAGGCTTTCCCAACGTTACATATTCTGCGTTCATCGTTGCGCGTAGCGAAATCGCGACGAATACGAATGGAACATCAGACTCGTTGGATACTGGACCAACATTTGTACAGGCAACCTTCGAACAGGTGCTCGTCCCTTGAGCCGTGGCACGTAGCGCGTGGCGCATCGTGACGCGAGAAGCGAAAATATGCCGTCGTAAGAGGGGGAGTAAGAAAGGTCTCGAGTTCTTTCTTTGAACTCGCCCCACAAAATCAGTCTCATAACTTTCTGCATAATTTACTACTTTCCTTCACCTGTTCGCTGAACATTCCCATGAATGTAAAAGGGTTTTGTAATCCATGAAATAAATAAAATGAAAATCAACCGAGGAAATATCACCGACGATCAATTAGAACGTGCAAAATTATAACATCGAAGTCGATTGTACGTCGCCCATGAATTCGGAAACGTTCGGTCGTATACAGATGAAAGCATTGAGCGGAAAAGGCTATACAGACACTGTCTAGGAGTCTTCCTAATCCTAGGGACTGTCTAGGACGGGTAAATCCGAATAAATAAGTAAATAAATACATAAATAAATAAATATACCGATGAAAGCGCGTCGTGCTAAATCATTTCCCACAGAATAATGCTTTTCGAGAAAGTCGAAGTTATGGATCTTCACAGCCTCGAGGAACAAGGTCGAGTTGAATAGCATACTACGCATGCACCATCATCGCGGTACGTGCATCCCGAATCGCGACACATTCCATTGATACAGGTATTTATTGTTAGTGGTTAGCGCGAATACCGTTTGCGACGAGCGGCGAGGCGAGAAATGAGAAAACGTACCTAGATCGTTTTGCTGTAGACTACAGGCCATGTAGAGCGTATGCCGTCAATGCAGACCGTAGCGTAGACATAGATCGTGAACGTGATCGCTTTCACAATCGTTCCCGTTTCGAACACGCGTCTCGATGCAGTAGGTACGCACGCACGGATGTCGTTCCGACATTTTTCAATCGTCGAATGCTCGGATACGTGATAGTGAAGGGCGCGCGTGCAGCGGCAGAGACAGTTTAAATTACCACCAATCGCAGAATAGATTCGTTCGCTGATGTCGCGCATAACAGCCTGGAACGTGTTCTCGTTTTCGACGACTCGACGCGAGGATTAAGTACTCCAATTTGATCTTGAATACCACTAATCTGATATTAGTACGCAGTATGTGATGAACGTTGTATAGTAACTGTCGTATGATGTTTTGATCATAATGCAGGCTTTCCCAACGTTACATATTCTGCGTTCATCGTTGCGCGTAGCGAAATCGCGACGAATACGAATGGAACATCAGACTCGTTGGATACTGGACCAACATTTGTACAGGCAACCTTCGAACAGGTGCTCGTCCCTTGAGCCGTGGCACGTAGCGCGTGGCGCATCGTGACGCGAGAAGCGAAAATATGCCGTCGTAAGAGGGGGAGTAAGAAAGGTCTCGAGTTCTTTCTTTGAACTCGCCCCACAAAATCAGTCTCATAACTTTCTGCATAATTTACTACTTTCCTTCACCTGTTCGCTGAACATTCCCATGAATGTAAAAGGGTTTTGTAATCCATGAAATAAATAAAATGAAAATCAACCGAGGAAATATCACCGACGATCAATTAGAACGTGCAAAATTATAACATCGAAGTCGATTGTACGTCGCCCATGAATTCGGAAACGTTCGGTCGTATACAGATGAAAGCATTGAGCGGAAAAGGCTATACAGACACTGTCTAGGAGTCTTCCTAATCCTAGGGACTGTCTAGGACGGGTAAATCCGAATAAATAAGTAAATAAATACATAAATAAATAAATATACCGATGAAAGCGCGTCGTGCTAAATCATTTCCCACAGAATAATGCTTTTCGAGAAAGTCGAAGTTATGGATCTTCACAGCCTCGAGGAACAAGGTCGAGTTGAATAGCATACTACGCATGCACCATCATCGCGGTACGTGCATCCCGAATCGCGACACATTCCATTGATACAGGTATTTATTGTTAGTGGTTAGCGCGAATACCGTTTGCGACGAGCGGCGAGGCGAGAAATGAGAAAACGTACCTAGATCGTTTTGCTGTAGACTACAGGCCATGTAGAGCGTATGCCGTCAATGCAGACCGTAGCGTAGACATAGATCGTGAACGTGATCGCTTTCACAATCGTTCTCGTTTCGAACACGCGTCTCGATGCAGTAGGTACGCACGCACGGATGTCGTTCCGACATTTTTCAATCGTCGAATGCTCGGATACGTGATAGATCGGTAGACGCGTATACCTCGCGAACTATGGAGATTAGTTCGGGAATATCCGCGAAACGTTTAGTATCATTAGCGGTCAGTTCCCATCGAACGATAAATAATAGCACCTTGACACGAATAAGACACGAAACTTTTGGGTAATCAGGAGCATAAATTATGGATCCGGCTTTCTGGCGTCTCGCGAATTTTCAGGGTCTCCGTGTCGCTCTTGTAACCTTGGTCTTTGGCGAGCCGTTGAAATTCGAGAGTTAAAAATAGACGGAAGAGAAAGGGGAGAATAAGTAGACGGTAGGGTAAGGGTAGAAAGAGCAAAGATAGAGAGAAAGGAGCCGGTGTATGAATGCGGCGCGGCGGAGCTTTTGGCAAAGGAAAGCTCAGGGTCGCGGTATACACATACATGTGTCGCGTTGCGCGTTTCAATACTTAGTGACTCGAGACTGAAAACTGGGACGATACGTTCTTGTCGCTCGTTGAGCTTCTGTATCGCTACGTTTTGTCGTAGCCAGCCTATACTCGGAATCGCGTTCTTTTTCGTATTCGCAGGTTTTCATCGCCTACGAAGATTCGAAGAGGTCTGCTCCCCGAGCATCTGTTCGCCACGTGCTCCCCGTCTCCCGTCGTTTTGTTCTTCGAAGTCCTTCTATATTTACTTCGCGAGCTTCCACGGTCAGAGTCAGGATTTCTCCTTTCGCGCATCCTTCCATGTACAGTGAAATCCATAAGTATTCAAAATTGAATAACTTTTTTAATGTACGACTTAAGGAATTAATTTTTGTTTAGGTATTAGAGAGACTAGTTTACTATACGATGTATAGCAAGAAATTGAAAAAAATTATTATAGCTTTTGTTCTTTGAAATCCTTCTTTGAAATGTTAATTTTCATTCACTTATTAATTTGAACATTTCGCGTTTTGAAAATGCAACTTCCAGTTTAGGCAGATTTTTATGTAGGTGTGCCTCCCTGGAATGTCATTACTTAGTGATAAGTTAATTCATCATCCAACATCACTTCGTATCGTTTTCGAGATCGTCGATTGATGTTATGCTTATATCGCCATAATTACGTAACGTGCTTACAAAAGATGGTACGACTTGTTTGTAATGTGGAAAAGCCGATAGAGAAGCACGAACGATACGAAAGGTGGTACGATTTGTTTGTAACGTTCGCACTATACGGATAGTAATGGTAGGTACAAGCAGGCGCGTATACGGCCGGAGCGAAAGAAGATCGATCGTCCACGTTCCGAGATTTCGCGCAACCCTAGCCTCTGCGTTTGTGTATTCGCTTCTTGCCACTGCCCCGAGCCGCGGAGGTAAGCGTATACCTGCGAGGAGGAATAAGTACGACTGGGTGGAATCGTTAAACCTCTGTACTCTGCACCGCGGGTAGCTAAGAGGCTTAAAGCGAAATGGTACCGGCTTAACCGGATACCTGGACACGCAGTCTCTACGCGTGTATGTACTTTTACTTACACATATACGTAAGAGTGTACGTCATATATATGTACGTTCTCGTACAATACGAGGATCGGTAAATCGCGCAAAAATCGTTTTCTCTCTGCACGCATTAAGAATACATAGATATGAAGCGAAAGTCAGGCCGTTCGAAGCGCAACGAGCGTTGCACCAACTTTTTCCATCGTTCTCCAGCGGACGGGTAAAGACAATTGGAGATAATAGACGTAAGAGCAGACTGAAAGGGCCGAGGGGGGAACAGGTGGAAAGAAATCGATGGCGAAAGGAGGAGGATTTCCACGGAGCTCGTTTCTCTCGAGGATCCGCGAAAAGTTTCGAAGCAAGTTTCGCGAGCGAAAATTCCCCGAGAGAGATAGGATTTACGCCCTCGTCGGTTCCAGATTGGAACGTCAAGCTGTCGCGTAAAAAATTGCAACGCGCTCGACCGTTACTAAAGTCTTTACGCCTATACGTATGAACGATCGTTGATGAAACCGCGAACGATGTCCGATGCGCAAATTATACAGAAGTATAGTGTATAAAATATTAAATACTATATATGAAATACTGAAGTGAAAAACTGCAGCGACGAAAAAGCAGCGGTTTTGATAATTATAGGTACGAATGACTCAAGGGATTCCGAACGGACGTCCCACACATCCACAGAAAACGCGGTACGTTCTTTCTCTATCTTTAGTGGTTTCCATGCGACGTTGCTATTTGAACTTACGTGAACGCGCCACATTTTGCGAAGTAACTCCGGAATCCAATGAGCCATCTGTACATAGGTTGCGCTTCGTCCTTGTATCGGAAAAATACCTACGTGTTTGATGATCGACGATGACGATGTGTAATTTGCGTTTCGGCTTGCGGGGTCTGTGAATCTCGATGATTTCATCCCGATGCTTCTTCCGCCCGTGATGGTGAATGATGTAAATCGTACTTCGGACTCGGGGGTCGGAGACTCCTACGGCGGACCCGGCTACGTGTTCGACATCCCAAAACCAGAGAATCGCAATGGCGGCGATCATGCTTGGCCAGAAGACATCGCGAACGTTTAAGCTCGAACCACTCACGGACATACCGCTATCGAACTATGTATGTACATATGTACGATGTGCGATTATTTATCACGAGCTTGTGCATCGAAGCGAACTCGATGAACCTTTATAAGCTGTTGCTGTATCGAAATTCGTGAGGAACGTGACGAGTTATCGTGCGAGTGTACTAAACCCATTTATGATTGAACGTCGCGACAGAACGAGACCGGTGGAACGAAAATTACTGCCCATTCTTGGCTCGAGGCCCAGATAAAAATATGAAAAAAGAGGAATCATTATTTTTGCTCGCGATTTTCAACGTTTGTAATTTTGTTCGTAGATCGTCTAATAACTAATTCCTGTAATTACTCAAACCGAGTCAACTGATTTTAAAAAATTGTTATGTTTTAAGAGGTGTACACCTTCGGGATTTTGTATGTACTGTTGTGTGTACAATTACATGTACTACGTACGCATTTACATACTCCCGAACGTGAACGATACCTATGGACTTCAGTTTACTTTGCAAACAGTAAAATTAGCGCATATGGTTCGTATTCAACGTGTCCTAGGCTCCTCGACGGCTCGACTGCTCCGAGGTAAGCGCTGTGTCATCTGACCCGGTCCTCCTACCCGGTCTTCCCTGCTGAGCGGCCGGATCCTCTAGTAGGATTTCTCTAGGCTTCAAAATTAGGAAGGATGCAAGTTCTGGTCGTTTGTCATTCTTAAGCTTTTTCGCGTCCTGTTTCAAACGGCTGTTTTTCTGACAGCCGACAACCATGCGATTTCCACTGTTCTGACCATCGCTGGGCCTTCTTAAAACTCTCTCTCTCTCTCTCTCTCTCTTTCGTGGACGAGCGTGAGCACTACTGATCGTCATCTCTTGAGAAAGGGTCTGTTCATTCTCGAATGCCCTCCTCCAGCACTCTAGCCAAGCAGAGACCCTGTCGTAAATCGTACAAAAATACGAAAACGAAGTAGCGCAGACTAATTGCTTCGACGATTCTTGAAAATACGCTTTCGCCAAGAATATTCCGTGCTGCTACGCAACGTTGGCAAAATCCTATAGAAAT